CGCCGTCCTGTTCGAGGCGAGGGACGCCGGTCAGAGAGGGATCTTGCACTATATATATATATATATATATATGTATATATATAACTATAAATAAATATATATATATACATATATATAATATATATATGTATATGGGCCATTCCATGTCAACTCACAGATGATGTGTCACCCACCTTTCAGATTTCCATGATTTTCATACCAGAAATAGGAGCTGATATAGTTATACCTCACCAAAATTTTCAGCTCAATATGTCAAGTGGTTCTAGAGATACAGGCTGTTCAAACATGACCCATTTTAGGGCATGGCCCGCCCATGTTTTACATAACCGAACAATGATTAATAATGCTATAACTTTATTTCTGGTCATATTTTGGCCAAAACAATTGCCTGGTATACATTTAGATAGTGTAGATTCCAAATATGTTTTGCAAATGATCGTTTGAGTAATGAAAATTGACCAAATGGCTCATTAAAAATTTCAAGTAAAAAAACGGCATCTCATGGGTGGTCATTTTGAGGGACAAATTGTGCAAAACTGCAAAATAAAAAAAAAATAAAAAATAAAAAAAAATACCAGCTGAAAGCTCTTGAATTGGGCTATAAGAAAATACTTAGTTAACCATTTGTATATGAAGGACCTATGAAATAACTTGACTTGAAAAAAAAACAAAAACAAAAAACAAAAAAAACGTTAATTGGCAAATTTGCATTTTAATAACAGTCACTAGGATATTGTCTAAAGATTTGCAATATGCATCTTTATTTGACCTAAAAGATAGATTACCAGTATTGTATGCTTCAAACTACTTTTAGAATGACCCTTAAGATGATAGTTGCTTGAAAAATTGTTAAAATATAATTTGGAAAACTGTAAGACCCCTTTTGAGTTGAATGGCATTAAAGAAAGTAGAAATCACGTTGATAACAGCTGTTTGTATTTATTATTTTATTCATTCAACTTTTATTCATTGGTAAGCAAAGGCAATGGGTGTTAACATTCATTAAGACTCAATTTCCTGATGATAATGAAATCTTCCTTGAAGATGTTTTGAAAGGAAACTGATCTATTTCCTGCTAATTAAAAAGTCACAGGTAGTAGAAAATATCAAATGCAAGTATCCTGAACTAGTTAAGTCATTTATTGCAAAGATGATGGAGGAAGGAGTTCCTTGTGACTTTGGTGTTTTTTTTGAAAGATTCATGCCATAAAACATATTTTACAAAAAAGTGTGGATTCAAAGACCTAAATGATTATGATCCTGAACTAAAGGAAGTTTACTTTTGGAGAGCTGGAATTTTCGACCATGAAGACATTAACAAGATGACAAAAAGATGATGTCTGCTTTCAATAATGGCAATCTACTGACAGCACCAAACTTTTAAGTCAGACATTAAGTATTGGTGACTTTGTTGATCTAGTGGTCGAATCTATTGATTCTCTCACTACTCACACATACATTGCAAAATCTCAGGCTAGATATTTAAAAAAAAGAAAAGAACTTCTGGAAGATACTGCCATTGTGTTGGGAGATTTTGCTGAAAAATAATTGTCGTACAGGATGAGGTCCAGTCATTTCACTGGAGTAAACAGTCTTGTACATTGCATCCATTAGCAATATGTGCAATGAGAAAATGGAGAAATCATGCAGAAATCTTTTTGTGTCATTTCGGATAACTTGGAGCATGACAGCAGTTTAGTTAACCAAATCCAAAAAAATATTTCACAGCTCATCAAATTCAACATGCCTCAAGATGGTTGTGCTGCTCAGTACAAAAACTACAAAACCTTTTTGAATTTAACATTTCATCATCAAGACTTTGGTTTGTCTGCAAACTGGTCCTTTTTTGCTTCAAGCCATGGAAAGTCGCCATGTTACGGTATTGGAGGAGCAGTTAAGAGACTGGTGGTACGAGCAGGCTTATAAAAGTCATACTCAAACCAGATTTTATCAGCTAGGTCAATGCTTGACTTTTGTAATCAAAGCATTGCAAATGTATGTTTCCTGTACATATCAAAAGATGAAATGGGTACAATCAGAGAAAAAACTCGAAGATCCATGGGTTCAACTATCCCCAGGACACGCAGCTTTCATTTTTTTGAGCCGATTGGGCCCTATGAAATTGCTTATTAGCGTACATCAGATGTTGAAAATATTTCTGGAAAATATAGCTTTGTGAAGGACAAAAATGTTTGTGTTCGCCTAACAAATGTTAAAGTGAATGATTTCGTTGCATGTAGGTATGATGAGAAATGGTGGATTGGCTTTGTTGAAAAGTCAGTGATAATGAGAGAGATGCTGCAATAAACATTTTGCATCCTCCAGGTCCAGCAAACAGTTTTGTAAGGCCAAGACCAGATATTTGCTGCATTCCTGAGAATGACTTAATAATGAAGATTAATACTCCAACAACTGCAACTGGAAGAACATACTACATAACATTGAAAGAATCTGCTTTAATCAGGAAATCTTTCTTGCAGCTCCTGCCATAAGCAAAGAC